AAGCTGCTTGAAAAGCACTTGAGAATGGAAAGTGTGTTATCTTTCCTGTGCTGATAAAAGGCTGCAGGGTTAACGGCGGCTTGTACTGCAGATCCAGACTCTGGCCTTCCACATTAGCATCACATCTCTCATGTCCACATTGGCGCAGACACTTTGATCTGTGTCTGGTCTCCAGTTCTTGTAAATGGTTTGCAAGAAGGACAGAGCCTCATCAATCGTGCTTAATTGGTCTTTTCTGTTAGGCCTGATAAATGGGATTCACGTTCATTTTGGGCCAGTGCTCATGGAAATCAGTGAAAACGAAGGCATAGACTAGATACTGAATAATGTCCCTTGAGAGGTTTGTGTGCTACATTGTGGGTTTTTTTAAATTCAGGACATTTATTAACACCTTTATTAACGTCTTGTATTGAGTCTTAAGATTCTTTCGGCCAGACAAAACACTAAACAGAATGGTACATAAAACAAGTTGTAGACAGAGCAAATTATACAGAGCAGTGACACATATACTGTACAAGACATAAAACATATAACAGTTTGCAAACATGATTGCTACAGCTTCATATAATCAGATTATTATGATATTATAATTGAAGCTATTTGTAGTTGGTCACAGGGGCGGATTGGCTATCTGGCAATTCTGGCAAATGCCAGAGGGGCCAGCCCATTTTGTTTAATGTGGGCCGGTCAGATTTTTTCTAAATATATATATAAATAAAATTGTTTTTATGGGCCAACAGCGCATATGACGGGTTTTTATCGCTTGCACGATTTCTCTATGGTTATAATAATAATAATGTTAATAATAAATAAATGTTAAGCATTTGGCCCAGTCGGCCACGGCCGGCCGCCTGGTCCCGAGATCAGTCCAAATCAAGCACGTCATCAGAGAGATTGCAACACGAGCTAATTTTCAGTAAAAGCTAGATAATGGACCGTAAAAAAGGAAAGGTGGTGCAGAAAAACTTTGAGAAAGGGGAAAAGTCCAACGCTGCTAAATGCATAAAATTAACCGAACTCTTTTCAAAAGGTTTAAATTCGGCTGCTGCAGCGGAGGACAGTTAGTGCCGCAGAGGTAAGAAGAAAACAGAAAATACAGCTAGCACAAGCCATTTTCACACTACTTCTGCCAGTTAGCTCCTGTTTTTTTTAGTTTTTTTGACAGTAGCCTACATTGTATTAAACAGTTGTAAGCTTAGCATAGAACCCCAGTATATTTTAAAATGTCATTGCTTCGTGATAATTGGTTAACTTAAGTGTTAACGAGCCTGTTACTGAATTGCATCAGCAGATAAAGTGGGATTTAGGGTCATAACTGATGTAGGCTACTTGCAATATAGTCTAACACATCAAAAACCTATAGCAATAGCCATAGTACTGTAGACATTTGTAGTGAACTTT